TATGATCAGATGAATTTTGTCATTGGAAAATTTCATTTTAAAGCCGTTATTCTTTAGAACAGAAAGCAGAAAGTGAGTCCCAAGCTTTTTTGCCTTTCCAGCACAGGCAACTATAAAGTTGCAAGGAGTGGCCAATGGAGGAATGAGTGTCCTCCTCATTAAACTTTATTGAGCATTACAAAGGCAACGCAAACCCCTGTAAACCCCTGTGTGCCTTTTCCTGGGGGTGGTGGGCTGCAGTTCAGGAACCACTCCTCTGACATGAGCAAGGTGGAAAATATGGAAAAACCTGCTACAGGCTACAGATGAGCTAGCTAACACAAGGGTGTGGAGCCTTCTGTGAAATGATATAAAAAGTCTAAATATGGGAGTATTTTTAAAATGGCAGAAATATATTTTGTCTCTTTCCTAATCCAGCTGAATTAATATAAATCATTGTAGAGCTCTTATGTGTTAGGTTTAGGGCATGAGCTTGCTCTAGGTCTCCTGGAGGAGCCGTTCTAACAGGAGCACTGCAAGCTGTCAGTTTGAGGAAGGACTGTTCTTGTCAGAAGCTTTCTCCCCCTTTTTTAGGGATGCAAGGGGAAACAGCAGCGAGGTGTTCTTCTTCTTTGTATGTTTTCTTATTAATATAAAGGCATTCTCTCCAAGGCCACAGTTGGCCAGAGGGAATATCCCTGTAGGTGTATGTGTTCTCCTCCTTTTCCCTGTTGGCTTGGATGAGAGCCCTTGTCTGGATGCACTGGTGGTCTGAGCCAACGTGACTCTTCTCACACTCTTCCTTTATCTGCCTGGAGCAAAAGCAGTGTTGGCAGTCCCACAGGGCAGTGAGCAGCTGTTGAATACAGGTTCAGTAGCTGAAACTACATAGTATTTTCTACTTTAGCTGTTGTACTATGTTAATCAGTAAAAACCAGATTTTCCTCAGCTGTGTATGTTTATGGTGGCTGAAAGTGTGTTGTGACTGTTAAGGTTACAGATGATGGTTCATGTGTGTAAGCCTTTGGTTTCAGTTAGAAAAACTCTGACATTTGAGATGAGGTTAAGTTTCTAGGGTGAGGCTGGAGATGAATCACAGCTGGATTTTGGCTTTTGGCTTTAACATCTACAATCTCTTTTCAGCAGCTGACAGAAAGATCACATTGTACTAGATAAGCCGTACAAAATTCCTGCTGTTTTAACCTGAAATCATATGATAGAAAGGTTGAGAGTCGGAAATGGAAAATGTAATGGAAAATGTTTGTCATGAAATGTTGGAGGCAAGGCGCAGCAAAGCCCAGCAGGAGACAGGTGAGAGTCAGGAGAGTCCCACCTGTGTCTCTCTGACCATGGAAAATGTCTGTTTTGGCCTGTCTGGCTTGGCTGCTTGTGTCCTTCAGGAGTGAAAGTGGAAGGGAGAGAGGAAACTGAGATAGGGACTCTGGGGACAGTGAGGAGATGGGGACCTTGGGAAAGGCACAGGCAGTGGAGACTCTGAGGAGAGGCAAGTGGTGAAGAAAGAAGTTAATGATGTAAAATAAATGGGGCTGGGGGTTCAAATCTTTTCCTGCTTCCACTGAAGCAGGTGACAGCAGCATGGAGTGGCTTTTACTTGCTAGTTAGATCTGTAAAGTATTGAAACATCTGTTACACTGGGTAATGACTCCTTGAATTGCTCAGGCACTTATGGCATAAGGCAAAGCTGCATAAACAAGCTTGTCTCTAAAGTCAAGTGTAGGACATTCCTGTGGTTTTCTTACATCTCCACTCTTTGTTAGGGGTAATGGTCTTTTCCAGTGATTGGGTTGCTTATCCTGCCTGTAGAGGAGGTCTGTACAGAGACATTTCTTTTTGTGTTGCATCAGTACAAGACAAAACACCTTTAAATAGGAGGAGGCTGGCAAGCATCCAGATTAGGATGCTAAGACATGGATGGGTGGAAAACTGTGACCATATAAACCCAGGGGAGGTCTTAGAGGGTTATGGGTGCTGACTCTTGCTCTGCATGTCACAAGTGTGCTACCAGGGTCTGTCCTGGATCTGTCCTGTTTGATATCCCTGTCAGTGACCGGGGGAGGTCATGGAGTGCACTCTCATCAAGTGTGCAGGTGTCACCAGCTGCAGCTGGGGCAGGGATACCAACCAACATACTCGAGGCCTGGGCTGATCTGTTGGGAGAATTAGCCAGGCTGGAGCCAGGATTCTCATGGAATTCAATGGCAACAAATGCAAAGTTGTGCCCTGGGGAAAGAGAAACCCCTGGGGTTCTCCTGGGATGGGCTGTCAGGGGACAGCTCTGTGGAAAAGTGCAGCAGAAATGAAGGTTGATAGCATCCTGGGCTCTTAGCAGGAGCAAAGCCAGGGAGATGAGGAAAGTGATTATCTCCTTCTCAGGACTTGCAAGATCTTGTGTGGATATCCATCAAGTTTGTACATCCAATACAGTAATGATGTTCTTAAAGTGGATTCAGTGAAGGGCCAGCAGCTTGGTCTGGGGCTGGAGCCCTGGGAGGAGAGGTGAGGGAAGGGGTCTTGCTGAGCCAGGGGAAGGCATGGAGGATGGATTTGGTCACCTTCCAGCACCTGCCAGAGGCACTTTCCCCATTGGAGGGGCCTTTCCCCATCGTGGGTGGGACCTCTAGCAGTGCAGCAGGGAGGCTGTGCAGCCTCTACTCCTGGAGGTTTTCAGAAGCCTGACAAAGCCCAAAGTCACCTGGTCTGATCTCCTGGCTGACCCTGTCCTGAGCACAGGCTGGATGGGATGGACTCCCATGCTCCCTTCCAAGCTGAATTCTCTGACAATTCAGACAACTGAATATAAAAAGGGTCAGGAAAAGAAGAGCTGATCAAAATACATTGCTCAAAAATTCAGTGGTGGACCCCCTAATCAACATTAGGGTGACACTTAAACACTTAGGTTTTTGTGGACTCCCTAGTCCAGAATCTGTTTGCCCAGTGCAGTCTGTTTAGGTTTAATTTAACCATTTGCATTTGTTCTGGCTGGATAATTACTTGAAAGTAATGCTGTGCGCTAATTTACCTGATTTTATGTGCTTGAATGACCCTGGAGATGGGGCCTTTAAATGTCTTTATTTTCTTCCCCCTGTTTTTTTTCCCCCCTTTTTGAGATTTTATAAATTTTATTTTTTAGAGGTTGATTTTGGATTTTGCCCACTTAGTTTTGAACAATTGGTGTTCTATGGTGGGGTGTGTTTTAAGTGCTATGCAGGCACAGTGAAATAGACAACTTTCAAGAATAGTCTGAAAAATGCAGGGCCCTGCTTTTTCATATGGGAGGAAACAAACAAAGCTGGAAAACTGGTTGTAAAATTCACAACCAGTGAATTTGCTCAGGCTGGTGCTGCCTGAGCAAAGGCAATTCCTTTCCTAGGTGCAAGAATGACTCATGCATTGTGCTAGAGTTTGTGATTTAGGCAGATGTGCTTCATCTCTCCCTTCAGGCAGTACGGTAGGGCAGTTCCCACAGCTCAGTGGCACCACACGAGCTCCTGGTGCTGTCCTAACTCACGGATGGGTCTGTGCCTGCACAGCTCTGCCTGTAAAAAAAACAAACAAACAAAAAAAAAAAAAAAAAAAAAAAAGGCAGGAATAGGAGAAGAAATGGTGTGCAGTGGTTTGGTTTGCCCTCATGAAGAGGTCACTGTGAGATCTGTTGGTGCAGGGTGTCATGGTGAAGTGGCCTGAGCTCCTGAGCAGGCAGCCAGCCCTGGCTCCTGTGCGACGCTCGGTGTGTCCAGAGCTGTGCTCCGTGGGTTACAAGGATGTAGAAGAGATTGTGCAGGAGCCTGATGCCCCCATGCCTGGGGTTTACCATGAGCCCCTCGAGTCTTTGCACAGCAGAGAGCCTGCAGAGCCCTGTCCCCAGGGCTCTCGAATGTCAGGTGAGTAGCAATTATTAATCGTTAGGGCTGAGATTATTCACACTGTTTGCTTTCCTCACATTCATCCCTCCCTTTCTTGTTCAAATAAAGTGACATTCAGTAGAAACTTACACTGGAGCTTTTTATCTCCCTTTCAGTGATTTATTTGATTTCATTGATCTTTTTAACTCATAATCAAACTGATTTTTGTATCCAGAAACTGTCTGATCTTACCCCTTTTATTTTCCTGTGTACTGAAGGAACAGTTCAGTCTTGCAGAGCTCAACAGCCTTTGTCAGAACCAAGTTTGGGCCGGGGCTGAGCAGCCTGAGCTTCCTGCGTGTGCTGGTGCGGGACAGGAGTGCGGGCCGGGGGTGCAGGCAGCCGGGGGAGATGGGGGCTCCTCCGGGCTCTTCTTTAAACGAGGGCTCCTTGCCTGAACTCGGGCTCCGTATGCGACGCCTAACAGCATACATGCCCTTTAAAGCCCAGCAAGGGCCGCGATCGGAGGAACTTTTTGAGAGGAAATATAGAATTGCCAGCTTGTCTGGTAAATCACCTGTCTGAAGATAACGGCATTTTAACGAGGCGAGTAGACATTTCGGAACACTCCCCACTGCTTTTTCCCTCTGCGAGAGCCAGGAGGAGGCAGACGGTGTGGAAGCGCACGGCGAAGGCAGCGGTACCCCCCCGCTCCGCACCAGCGCTCCGCTCCGCACCCAGGGCCCTGCTCCGCTCCCCCCGCTCCGCACCAGCGCTCCGCTCCGCACCCAGGGCCCTGCTCCGCTCCCCCCGCTCCGCACCAGCGCTCCGCTCCGCACCCAGGGCCCTGCTCCGCTCCCCCCGCTCCGCACCAGCGCTCCGCTCCGCACCCAGGACCCCGCTCCGCTGCCCCCGGCCCGCTCCCCTCGCCTCGCTCCCTGCGGCCTGCGGGGCGTCCCCTGCCGCCCCCCCCGCTCCTCCTTACATGTGGGCCCGGCGGGCCGCTGCGGGCGCTGTGGCGGCCGGGGCTGCCCCTTCGGCGGGCGGAGCGGCGGCAGCGCCTGCCCGGCTCCGCCAGGGGCTGCTCGAGCACCGCGGCTGGGCTGCAATTAATTAATTAATTAATTACCCGAGCCGCACGGGATATTTTTCCTTTTCCTATTTTTAATTTTTTTTTTAAATTTTATTTTTAATTTTTTTTTTAATTATTTTTTAATTTTCTGTATTTCCCCCCCCAAGGCATGAGCGCGGTGCTTTAAGCCGTGGGTCGCGGTGCGCTGTGCGGGGCCGAGTGCCGCTCGGCCCCGGCGATAACCGGAGAGGAGCGCGTTCGCAGGGATAACTCAGCGTCTGCCTTCCGTGAGCCGGCACCGCCGCGATTTCCATCCTGGCCGTGCGCCAAACGCAGCGTCGTGGCGCCTGCTTATTCCTCTCCCCGTGCTCTGGAGTTGTGGGCTTCGTTCTGCTTGCTTTCTGTAAAATAACCATTTGAAAATGTCTTGTTTTAACGTTGGAATTAACCTAAAACACCCTAAAAACGTTTCTAGCAATACTACCGTTTCTAGCATTACTACCAAAAGGTTGATCTGGGATGGAGACCACTACATTAGCTTTCCTTCAATGCAGAAATACGTAAGGTAATATGGCATTGAGTAATGCATTTTTTGTTTTCCCAAGGCTAATATCACTTGTAATAGTTAATGAGTTTACACCAGAGATACAATAGATTGAAATAAGCGAAGGCAAGGCTTTACAGATTTCATTGCAATTTATGGAGAAAATCTGGTGTCAAGCAAAAAGTCCATTTTGTGTTTTCTGAAAGTGAAGTCACGGTAATTAAAATGCTTTGATAAAATGTTTCACCTTCATAATTGATGTCCTTGGTCTGTTGCTTCTCAAGTGTTGGGGTTTTTGTTTGTTTGTTTTTTGGGGTTTTTTTTTTGTGTTTTGTTTTAATCTCCCAAACTTTTACAACAGCTGCAGTAGAAGGACCACAGTCACACAGTTTTGGGAGAAAAGGATTTTGTTCGTCCTGGTTTTGTTTTACATCTGAGTAGGTTTCAGGAGTTTGTCAGTAATCGTGCTAAAAGCATGTTTGTAACTGTAATAGTTGTGTGCTCTGTTGTCAAAAACCTTAACAAACCTTTAAGTGAGTCTAATTAAAGCAGCCTTTGATAGTGGAGATAATAAAAGATTGCTTTAATTTACGCTGTAATGAAAGGATTGTGCCATTAAATGTTACAGGAAATAGTAGAACTGCTTTTCCAGGCTAGGTAGAAATTGCATGCTGTGCTTTTATCATCTCAGTGAAGTCCCAGTGATTGTCTTTCCGGCCATCAGCCAGAACTTCAGAAATGAGGTAGTTCCTCCCTCTTCTGAGAGAGAGACACGTGTAGTCCAGTTATCCTGGTGTTGGTGTTTCCATTGTGTGTTTCTTCTCTAAACCTTGCACATCTGCCCCCAAAGCCTTTCATTTTTAATGGAGCCTGGCAGATTTTGTGGTATCTGAACACCAAGCTTTGGGCTGGAAACCAAAAGGTTTTTTGGTTGGTTGGCTGATTTTTTTTTTTTCCTCCTAGGCATTTCTTTTGCATTATATTGTTTCTTGGTGTCTTGTCCTTTAAGCCAGGATAGTTCCAGAGACATGAAATGACAACTTCTTTTTTGGACCATGATTCTAGATGCCAGTTGGATTGCCCTTCTCCAGTGGACAGGTTGCCAGCCTGAGAGGAATGGTGAGGTGCTACAGACACGTCAGCAGGACACGTGGCTTTGCACTGCAGGATAATCATCACACAGCCTCATGTCTCTTCTCCACTTTTCTGCTGCAGGTTCTGGTTTCATTATTATTGTGTACTGAATTTTGTATTTATTTTCATGGGACTCTGAATGAAGCCTGAACTTCTATGTTTTTGAGAGGAGAATCCAAAAAAGAAAAGTAAGCAACTTACCCCAGGTTATTTCCTAAGGTAAATTAGAACAATGAAGTTAAGTACTATTTCATTTTCTGATGTTTCAGTGTTGTAATGAATGAGCAAATTAGGTTGCCAAAATATGACTAATTCACACATTGTAATAGTCTTTACATGATAAGTTGTTGGAAGAGCTAAAACCATATACCTTTAAACATTGAGAAACAAGAGTAAGAGGAGACTCAGGAACCTCAGAGCAGAATATAAAATGATGCTGCTGCAGCTGGAACTCATGCTGATTCTGTGTATTGTACAGAAAACACCATCATAACAATAATAAAAAGAAGATAAGCAACTGAACTGTGAATTCCAGGTTCATTTTTCAGTTCTACCTAACTCTTTGTAACTTTACAATGAAAGATTCAGAAATTGGAGCCAATTACCATAATATGTGGTGGTTTGGTGGGAGCATGTTCTACATCAGACAGTTAAAAGGTTTTATTGCTATTAGGAGCTTGTTAATGCCCTTGATAATGTCTTTAGTTGCTTTGTAATGTCTCTTGTTGAAGTATAGAATTCTTTTATCTTCTTATTACATTATGCAGAAACTTGAATTGAAACGATATTTGCAGGAACATTTAAAGTAGTGCATCAATCAGTTTCAAAGAAGAGAAAATGTTCTCAGAATAGGTTATAAAAAGGATAACTGTCAGTTTTATTTTGGATGAACAAAGAAACCAACGTAAAAAGCACTTTATTGTAAAAGCATACTGTGCAATTCAATAAATATTCCATATAAATATAAAGGAAAAGAAAGTTCATAATTATCTGATGGCTTGAATATAATTTAAGTAATACTTCCAGAATACAGGAAGCAGTGAAGCCCCTTCTTCTTTCTTGTGTATTCTACCCCCAGCTCAAGTCCTCAGTAGGAGATAGTTTAAATCGACTTGTTAATGATTTGAATGCTAAAATATGGTTATAATTTAACATTATCTTGCAGGGATGTAAACCTCCTCACAAAACACCTCACCACATGAGAAAAATAGCAGTAGCACCTTTCCTCACTCTCCTTGCTTTTTGTTTGTTGGGTTGGTTTTCTTCCTCAAACATGAATTCTTGTTGTTTGTTTTCCCGCTGGCATTTTTTACCTGCTTTAACGCAAAGTTATCTGAGTATTTATACATTTGGATTACAAACCCTCTATATGATTTGGTTAGAAAACGCTTGCACGGGGTGTTATTATCCAGGAAAACAGTTGCAAATACTCTGCTCCCTGAACCAGTAGTAGCTTGCTAGACCACACAAAATATGGCATGTTGCAAATCTCATCTTGTAGCCTGTAAACCAGAAGCAGCATGCTCCCCTTCCCCCCTTCTTTATCTTCTAAAAAAAGAAAGGAAAAAAGAGAAAATACCAAAGACTGCACATAGAGAGTTGTAAATGCTCACACGGCAAATGTTTCCCAGAGAAATTTGAGTCTTGTCCTTTGGATCCATTGTCTTTTCAGAATCCAGTGTTCATCCTGTGACTTCAACAGAACAGAGTATTTCCAGTTTAAGAAATGTATGTTTATTTCTGAAGAGTTTATTAAGGCAGAGAAGTAATTGGCTGTGAATGCACATATTTTGGTTTATTTATTTATTTCAGTCTATTTTGGTTACTAAATTCTATGCGCAAGGGATTTCTAACCTTTTTTGTTGGTCATTCTGAAAGGGTATGCAGCATGCACCTGCATTATTCAACTGTTTATTTTTCACTTCTGAAACTTTGAAAAGATATCTTATTTTTATTTAATAATCATACCACAATAAACTCACCTTGTTCATGCCCCGTTGTCAATTCTAAGCTTCAACCTAGGTATGTTTTTAAACTTGCAGGTGGTTTTAAAATTGTAGGCTATTAAAAAAAAAACTCCTGTGGGTTTTAGGAACTTACAATAGTAATTTCATTGAAGTCAGCTATAATTGATCAATCAATTCACAATATTCACAATGTATTTAAGATGAGATTTTATTTCCATGACACATTTTTCTACATAGGACTTCCCTCCTTTAACTGCTTCCCTGTGTTTCCAGCTCTAAAGGCAGGGGTGCCAGGTGGCCTTTGCCCTCCCAGCACCTCCATCCCCCTGCCCTTCTCTCTCCAGCCAACACCTCCCTTTTGTGGCACAGGTGTCATTGCAGTGCCCTAAAAAGAGTTTATTTCACAACACTCCAAGCAGCCTCTGAAGGAGCGCCTCCGTAAGTTACCGAGCTCTTGAGAAAACAGTAATTTACAGTGAGCAAGCTGCGGGGTTGCATGGATCTGTGTGCTTTGCCTGGGAAATAGGGTTCCCATGGCAACTGCCCCACGCTGCGGGTGTGACATCCTGTGCAGGTGAGGCTGGCTCCCTGTGAGGTGTGCCCTCCTTGGCCCTGCACCCTGGGCTCTGCTGCATGGGCAGCCTGCTGGGCACCTCCATCCCTGCCTGGCTCCACACTGCTCTTCCCAATGGGCAGACTCCTTCCCTTAACACTTGGGAACATTAGCCCTAGGTTAGAAGCCCCAAACAAACAAAACAAAACACCCAAGGTAAACAAACATCACGCTTTAAAAAAATACTGCACAGAAATCACAATTGAGCCCATGATCATCCTGGGATCTTACCAGAAGGCACTGATGAGATATGAGATAATCAGCTCTTTCTTTGTTTGGGAAGGAATGTTTACTTGCCTTAAATTTATTTGGCTTTAAATTCAGTTATTAACAAAGCAGCCTTTGCTGACCTGAGTTGAGAGCAGGGGAAGAGCAATGCTTGCTCAAGGAGAACACATCAGAAACCTGACTTGAGGAAGACACTGAAACTAGGCAGTAAGAGCAGTTTGCACTTTATCTGTTCCAAAATGTAGGTTACTGTGCCAAGTGTGATGATGATGGCTCTCATTTTGCAGGAGTTCCTAGTAACTAGACCTGATGGCATTTCAGAGCAGGATTTGTTTGGGAGGTGGCCAAGCTCTGCAAATCAGGTAACACACAGGGCATCCTTGGGAGATGGGGGTCAAGGCTTTCTAATCCAGAATGGGATAAACATGAGAGACCTGTGGCATATAAGGAATTATACAAACTTGTAAAATTGTTGCTAGTTGAGCTGGAAAGCCTCTTGTAACATGTAACACTTTAAATATCTCTGAAGACAGGAGGAGGAATCTGGCTTTCCTAGACAGAAGCATTTTTGGAGGAGAAGTGGAAGATGTTATGAATAGCTGTGACAAAGGCAATGACAAGACAGACTTTTGCATGAAGCACAGAAAGCTGATCTATAGGAGGAAGTGTAGTGGCTTGGGTGACAATAGTGTGAACCATGAAGAATCTTAAAACTGATGGGTGTTTTACTATGGTATGACAAAAAACCAAAAAGAAGGGACAAGCAGTGGCACCCACAACACCCATCCAAGAACAAGAGATGTGAGAGACTCTTCCTTTGTTTGCCACTTTCTAAATCAAAATGGAGAGGAGGCTTTAGAAGGGAAAAACCTTTCTAAATAGTAGCATTGCACAGTGTTTCTTCTGGCTGCTAATAATGCTTCTAAAGGTGTGACCGGACTTACAGAATGAAACCTCTGGCCCAGGTAGTGAGCATCACATCACTGTGACAGAACAGGGCTCAGTTCAGATTGCAGCAGAGGAGAAGTGATGTCTTGGCAGAAGAATTGAGTGGGAAGTGACAGCTCTTGCTGTAAAAAAGCAGAGAGTGTCTAAGAGTTAAAATAGATTCTTTTCTGAAATGCCCATGTAGCTTCAATAGCTCCACAGGAGTTTTAGGATTACAAATGACAGCAAAATTTGTGCCATTCTGCATAATTGTATTCTCTACAAAGAAAGTTTCCTACATCTCCTAGCAAAGACGGTACTTTCATTAGAAGGAAAATAATTTCAAAATTACATCTCTTTGTGCCAAGGATTAAAAAGATCTAACAAGGAGTTTAAAAAAAAAAAAAGCATTTACATTGAATCCTTTGGTTTTACAGGTAGAATAATGACATGAAAATAAAAGAAAATTTTAATTGGTGAAGAGAAGGGGAAACATCCTAGTTCTTGACTCGTCACTATGTTCATCCTCTCTTGCAGCTCCCACCATTTTCACTCACAATATACAGGACTATATTTGTCTTTACTGAGGTTCAGCTCTGTTAAAAACAATCCAGTTCTATCTCTCTGCTAGTGTAAGATTTCAGCCTTCCTTAACACGAGTCTCTGACAGACAAGGAACCCAGAATGTCTTGGCTTGGCAGTGGTTCAATCCTCCATAATTTTGTTAATTTAAATGTAGTCACAGGCTGCAGTCTCAGGAAATGCCAGCTCTTTTTGCCCCACCACAGCCTAGAAACTCTCTGTGATGGCTCTGCTGTCATAGCTGGAGAGCACAAACCCTCTGTGCTCAGCTCGCAGTTCCGACTGCCATGTATGGACATTTCTAATTACTTTGGAGGCGCTCCATTTTGTACTGCATGCATAATTAGTTAGTTATTTACATTTTATTTCAGCATTTTTCCTAGCCCCTACACTAATGAAATCCCGGCGTGACATCAGAACCTTCCTGCTGAAGTGGGTCTTCCCTTCAGGGATCAGCCACCCTTTTAAATTAATGAGCCGCTTACAGAAACAGCTTCATGATTTTATGTGCAGTGTTTGCAAGGAAATTTATAAATGGTCTGACTCCTTTCAGATCCAAAATCTGTTGAAATTAAAAGAAAATCTCCCACTAGTATTGCATGCTTTGGGTCATCTCTTATGTGGATTTTTTTTTCTCTTGTATTTACCGTAACTCAGTTAGGGAAAAGGGTCCTCCATCTTTCACACAGAGGAGCAGATGTACGGGTGGGAAGGAAGAAAAATGGATATGAGGAAGCTAATTACCACTGGAGTCCCCAAAAGTATAAAGTGGCCTGTAGGTAAGAATTAGTAACATCATATTATTAAGAAACTTGTTTTTCATTTAAAGACTTTATTTGAAGAATATAGGAAATACAGTTAGTCTCCACAAAAGTCAGCTGCTTTTTGAGGCGCTGTTTTCATAAATAAATTGAGATTGTTAATCTTATGTTGTTTTTCTTGTAAGTGCAATTGAACAGAAAAAAGAAAACCAAAACAAAAAAACCTCCTAAACAAACCAAACAGATCCCCAAAAAAACAAACCAAAAGAGAAAGGAAAAAGGTGTTGCTTAGCAACAGCCTTGTTCAAATGGTCAGAAATTGGTGTATTTGCTGGAATTTGGGAGATATCTCACAGAGCTTGCTCACAGTGTATGGGATAAGGAGAGAAAAGAATCAATGTCCAAAATGGAGAAGGGAACCACTACTGCCATCAGATTAAGCATGTGCTCAGTGTGGTTTGCAACACACTTCTGGTGGCCTGGGTTAAGCACATTTGCATCTCCTCCTGTGCCCCTGTTGTTTCAGTGGTTTGTTATGTTTCTTAGTGTGTTTATTTTCCTTCATTTTTAGGTATGCTCATCTTCTCTCTCCTCGTCCTGGTTTGCTCACTGAGCAAGCTTGTCTCGAAGGCAGCACTTTCCCTTGGCTGGAGCAGGAGGACACCAGCTGATGTGTTTGCAGCAGCCACCTCTCCCTTATGCTTTCTTGCCTGTTCAAGAGTCCAGTCCTGTTCCAGTCCAGCCAGTGGAAAAAGAGCAAAACTGCCCAGTGAGCACACCTGTCTGTCTGGAGAGGAGTGGGGGAAAGGAGGGCTTAAGAGTGTATATTCCTAAGTGAAGTCCTGCAGCTGCCATTTTCTCTTTCTCCTAGGAGAGGCAGCCCTTATGCTGAAAGCCTGGGAGAGCAACATCACTGCTGAGTAGGTAGCCCACAAGGCACAGCTGAAGGCTGTATTGTGCTGTTTTGGCTGTGAGCTGCTGCTTAGGTGTTTTATTTTTTTTGTCTCCAGTAATTCTGTCTGCTTTGTGCACTGGTAGGTGACCACGTTGCTTTTGGGCTGCCATGTGATCATTGTTTTGAGACTTGGATTGTTTTCCCTCAGCCTTTTGTGTTCCCTCCTTTTTTTTTTTTTTTTCCTATGGTGTTTGAGGAAGGAGAGAGAATTGACTCATTAACAATTCCATGTACTCTTGATTTGCCCTTCATCAGCCTGGAGAGGGATCTCCAGTCTCCACATATCCTTGGGTCAGGCAGGATGAAGAGAATGTGGCACTGGTATACCTGGACTTCAGGAAAAGCACCCTTGAGGGTGTGCATTATTCTGCATCCCTGTTGAGAGCTAATTAGCCTTTTGCCTTCCCCAGTATTACCAGATATTTCTTAAATATCACTGTAAAAAAGTATTTGTAAGTCTGGTTGTGCTCTTTAGACCCTGTAGCTGGAGCATGTTGACTTGTGGCAGCCAAGTATTTGCACTCTTTGTACAATAGAGGGAAGGAACTGCAGGAAGGTGACTGAATCATCAGCTCCGTTTTGGAATTGGTCATTGCTTTATTCCTGCCATTTCAGTTGCTTTTTGGGTATGGCTGCCTTTCCCACACAGCTCCAAGTAAGAAGACGTGCAAAAGAAAAGCTAGTAACTTTTCAATTGCACGGAATGAGAAAAGTGCTCTGAGAGGGAGAAAGTGACCAGACCTCACGGGCAGTTAAAATTCTGTGGCTCATTCCCTTTGTAGGGAAAGAATCTCATTCCTGTGTGGAGTGACTTACCAACTCATTTGCAGAAAGAATTATAAAATGCAAATATTTATGAATCACTGTATATGTTGTAATCTTATTTCTAAAACAAACATTGCTTTCTACTGTGGCTCCTGTGTGCTGTGAGTTGAAAGATTTTCCAACGTTTATCCCAGTTTGAGCAATAAGCTGCAGGGAATAAATGCTGTTCGTCAGACTGGGATGCAGTGTCTCCTGGAGCATTTCTGCTCCTGGCAAGTTGTCATCTCCTTTCAACAAGTGTTAGTAAAAATATTCAAATTAGCATTAAAACTGGGTATTTTCTGATATTTAACTTATATTCAGGCAGATGTCATAGCCAAACAGGTGATAGCATTTTTGTTAAATGTGGCTTGTAAGGTCTGGCTGTGGTTTCTGGTTTGCAGGTAGGAGCTTCCTTCCTCCAGAGTGGCTCTTCTCCTGCAGCTGGGTGTGGAGGCACAGACCGAGTCTGCTGTGGCTGAGATGGTCTGGGGCAGAGACAGCTGGGAGGGAAGGGAGAAAGGGCTAAAGACCACGGGACTGTGGAGGTTTAGGGTTTTGGTTCCTGTGCAGTGGGACTCCAGAACAGGGAAGGGAATGCTTTGTGTTTTTAGGAAGGCAGGGGCTTGTAGTCAGGCTGGACAGGATCCCTGCTGGGTGGGTGTTTGTGCCTCGGTGAGGTGGTACCTGCTGGGTGGGGATGGAGGCAGGGCAAGCCCCCTGCAGCCCTCCCTGGCAAAGCAATCTGCTGAGCAGCACTGGGCAGGGGGCTCTCCTCTGCTTGGGTGTGTCAGAAAACCTTCTGAGAAAAAAGTCAGCTTTTTTGCTGAGAGAAAGCAACTTGTGATCCAGTATGTTGGCAAGTGGTAGGAAATAAGGCTGCTGCCATAAAATTATGCAATGAATGTCTCTTTGCATGATGAATTCTGGTGCCCTTTCTTGATTGTATTGCTTCTTATAAGAGGCTAAATAAACATTGAGGCTAAATAAAAGAGTAGCATGGCTGCAAGGAGCTGCTTTTGTGCCTGGAATAATTGGTCATATGGTTGTATATAAGTACTAATGGTTTGCATAAAGCCCGAGGACTTCAGGAACTGGGTTAAGTTCAGGTTAAGACCAGTCCTGATGGATAGGTGCAATGTCCTTTATCAAAATACAAGGAAAATAGGAGAGAGTAAATCAAAAGGTATGGAGGAAGCAGACTCTTTCATTGTGGAAAATATCTTGAGCATTAATCACTTCCTTTTGCTAGATAGGTGCAAGTATGAAAAAAGAGATTATTTCCTTCCAAATTACACAATGGTTTTTAAGTAAGATATTAATCCCTGTGCAGAACAGTAGGTGCTGGTCTCCGAGCTGAAAATTATTATGCACTTCTTAATTTGTCTCTATTTATGATTAAGCTCATATAAATCAGGGTATAAATGCATTATTAGAATGAAGTTATATAATATGCATGTGCCTCTAATACTAATATGTTGTCTGTGTCTTCTATATACAGCTGCATGACAGAGTGTATTTATTAAAAGTCTAGCAATTGTACATTCCTGAAATTGCAGATTTTTACTCAACTGCTTGTGAGCCTGGGGGTATGCAACATCTGTTTATCATTGTACTCTGATGAAACCCTGATAAAGATGAAACTGCTGCAAAGAAATGTGGCCTTACAGTGGGAAACTAAAATTTCAGGTACTAAAAACACTTCTGCATCTCAAAAATTGACTTATGCCTTTGCTTATTTTCAAAGAGCTCCTTTACAAAATAGCAAAGATTATGTAGTCTCTGTATGCTCATTAAGTCAGAGATAGTAGAAATAGAAGATTTTTTAAAAAGGCAAATTGAATATAATGTTATGTATTTAGGATGCTTCTCAGCCTTGTTTTGATTGCTCTTGTGTTTCCCCAAGAAATCAGACAGCTCAAAGAATAAATGAAATAAAAGTTTAAATGACAAGATCCAGCCATGGTCAGAGGTGATGATGAGGAGCAAAAAAATTGGTAAGTCAGAGCTTTTCAACACTTCTTTCTTTTTTCTGGTTTTTTTTTTCCTGTGACAGGTCATAAATACTGTTTTGGGAAAAAAAAAAGGTAAAAGTCTACTAAAAAGTAAAATCTTAGCTGAATGATTATGAAATGGACTGCAAAGACATTTTATTTGATTACATTTCTAACCATTTAGCTTTTGGGAAAAAAGCTAAACACAATAAAATTGTCACTCTTTTCAGGAGTCTTACAGGTAGTTAGTAAACAGGAGAAGGCAACTGTCTTCCCTCATTATAGTCATCAGGGTTTTTCTTGGAATCTAGACAGTGCAACAAGGAGCTTCTTTGTGAGTTAGTGGAGGGAATAATCCACAGGCAAAACAACATCCACGTGCTTTCTGAAACAGGCTGGCTGTTACAGCTTGCTGCGTGGGGTTTATTGTTGAGTACTGTAGGACCCCTTCACTTTTACCAGGTCTGACAACTTCACAGGTGTGGGTATGAAGGAAGACCTAAAACTGGTCAGTTATGGAATACAGAAAAAGCTATTTTTGCAGCACAATCCAAAATCTTTTTCTTCAGCCATCATGTGGTGTTTCTTTTTTTCTTAAGCCAGACTCCTGAATGATGAGAGCTGGCTTTGTGCTTCATCATTTTCTCTCACAGGAGCAGGGAAGCACAATGTGTTTTATTTCATGTTATTAGCTGGGCTATCACTGGGTTGCTTCATGATTGCAGGCCTCTTTCTCTTGCCTCATCGTTTTCTGTCACAGTTGTAAAAGCATGGCAGTGGTGAAGGAAGCAACCAGCCATCAGGAAGGAATGTAAACGCTGTAAATTACAGTAGGGCAGGAGGATCTGTAACCATCTCTTGTTCCCCTTTGTGGATATCTCTATAATTCTACTGGCCCTTGGAGCTGATATGAGAAGGCAGTAAAATTTCAAACAGAGCGGACCGTGGGCAGTTGCAGCACGTGGCTGCACGAGTGCAGATACTCCTGTGTGCTCAGCAGTGGGCAGTGCCAGGCATCCTCCTGTCCTGCAGGCTCTTACCTAGCGGTGTAGGGGCCTGGAGTAGACTGAGCCTTCTGTAAGGAATGGAGGTTTCCAGGAATGGCTGCGGTGATCCCTGTGCTGCCAAAAGGCACAGCTTGGAGTGAGCTTTGTTTGCAAATGCATAATCCTAGTGAAATATCTAGAAAGAATTGAAGTCAGGATTGTCATAGTGAATGAAATGGGAGAGTCGCCTCCTTTGTGTGTTTGAGATGTGAGGACATTGCACAGCTGGAACCAGAGGTAGGTGAAATCCTTCTATCAGAATTTGCCCTCATCACTCCACAGTTGCAATGTTTTGTAAGGGCTGCTGAGCTTGCATTTGAAAACCAAATGGCAAAAGTACAGATTATCCAAGCATTCAGTAGGCTGTCAATTTCTAAGAATGGCCCCAAATATTGGGTGCCTTCGGGGTAGCAAATCAGCAAGTGTCTGTTTTGAACTTGTCCATGACTGTTTTCATGAACAGAGATGCTTCCACTGTGAAGGCAGTGCAGAACTGTTATAAATGCAGCTTTTCAATGGTTTGTTCTTTTAACTTTTTTTTTCAGATTAAAATACTTTATACAACTAAAGCTTTTCTGAATTTCCCAATTAAAACAGCCAAGGTGTATCTTTTCAGGACTTAGACTGCTTGTGTATGTTATGGCTTTAAAAGCTATTTTTCTTTGCAGAATGGGAATAATAGACTCAAAATTATTGTGCTGTGTAACTGAAATAAATCACAGTTCCTGGACTGTGTTGTTGTTTGTCCAGAGATGGGCATAGTGGGTCACGGTGGAAGAGAAATCATAACCAATAGTAGAGAAATACAAAGGTTCTGGTCCAGAGGAACGTGTCCATAAACAAATATTTCCTAATGGTGTTCATAAAACAATTGGTTCTGAACTGGTGAAGGGTAAAATTGAGCCTTTATGTTTAGTTTTCCTGGGAATAACTTGTCACAGCAGTTAAGAATTGAAAACTGCATGGTTTGTAAAGCCCCTCACTGCAATAAAACACCTGTTGTTTGCATTAGAGTGTAATTGTGCTGTGTGTACCTGGATATGTGGGCCTGTAGCACCATCACTGAAAGGTGCTGCTCTCTTGACTTCTGGGAAGTCACCAACCTTTGGACATAAAACTCAGGGATGGAAAATATTTCAAGAGGAACAGCCCAGCCTAGTCTTTGGTGACTACCTGTTGACTCAAAGCAGGAGAGTGGAAGGTCAATCCCTCTGACAGGGCTTCAGAAATAATACTTAAGCATAATACCAAGAAGTAGTACTGCTGTACTGTGTTTAGTGTGACAATTAAAAGATAAGTTGCTAAAGGACTAGGATCTAAGAAACATCAAATCAAAAAGGAAAGAATTGGTCCAGAACAGCAACACATGATGAGCCATGGTACAAAAGAGACAAGAACCAGTTTTAAATGAGCACCAAAAGCAAAAGCTGCCATTCCTAAAGCATATTATTGAAGCTGTTTGCTGGCAGCACACCATACAGTTTTGCAGTGTTGTGTAAGCTTTTAAAGAACAATGCTTTTACCTTGGATCATAGACTAAACTACTTTTTTATTGTACCTCTGGTGCTAACCTCTTTTGCACTTGTCTTTTGAAACTCCTTGCAAGTTTGAACTCCTCCTAGCTTCTCAAGTTAACCTTTTGTCCTCTGAATTGCTGAAATGGACATCCCAGCCAACAAAAATATTATTTAATTCTTCCCTATGTTTTCCATTAATTCCCTGAAGAACACCAGAAGAAACTTTCATATTATCTCTGTATTTCTCTAGACTCAGTAGGCTTTTGGAAAGAACTGGCTGTGGCAACTAACCCCCAGGCTGTGGGTGGATGAGCAGCATTTAGCTAAATTTTTAATTTTTGGATTTTTTATCTTTTCTGCACTGGCTAGAGCATCTTCTGGGGGAGTTCATGGATTTTCTCCCATTAAACCAGTCCATAGCCTGCATATCTCTCTGTGTGTTAATTGTCATTAATATCTTAGAAGTGCCCCTGTTCTAGAATGACATACTGTGTTTAATTTTCCTGCCTTCTTTCAAATAGAAATGACTATATTTGCACATAATGGGGAAACTTGGACTCAATTATTTAAGAGGTTGGGATTGGGCTGAAGAAGGAAGTAGGACACTGGTGTTTTAGGAGTGTGAAAAACCAAGCAATGATTTGGACCTAATTGTAAAAGTGTCTTCTTACCTGTAAGCAGACCATGATTCTGACAGAGTGCTATCCATCAGATTTGCAACACATTTATGCTTTGATTATCAGAAGGGGGAAGAAGAAATGTGTCTGAAAAATCATGACTGAGCATGACTAAAAAAAGGAATCACTTATGTGTAAAAGTCCCATTTAAGTATGGTTCTCTTCTGAAAAGGAGATGTCATCTTCTAACAGCTTTCTAACAGTTGACCAGAAAATAATAACCATTCAATGTTAATATAAACAATGCTCAGCTACTCAAATTTGATTTTTATTTTTTTTCCCTGAATGATGCAAAATCTACCAATCATCATTCAGTGAGCTGTTTTGTCAGAGGCTTGGAGGAGAGTTATTCCCCATGCTAGTGCACCACTAACACAACTTTCTTTCAAAAATGCTTTTAGAAAGTGCCAAAGATTTGAGTCTTAATTTTGTAAATGCCATTTCAGTCACATTTGTGCCTTTCCTATGTCATTCAGGAACTCTTTTGTGCTAGTTGTTGAGCATTCCATACCTGTGGTCAGAGATTGAAGGATTTTTGTGCTTGACTTGTCTACATATTCTTTTTTTTTTTTTTTCCTTTTTTTAATGTAAGGAGAAAGCCAGGGCCAGTGAGGAGCTCTGGAAACAGGAGATGGAAGGATACTATAGCACTACGTAGTTTTTGGCTTCCCAATGGAAATGCAATTCCTAGCGCCACAAGCATGGTGGTTTCCTGGTTGGGGTGAGCAGCAATCTTGCTGGGGGCCAGGGTCACGTCCCAGGGCAGGCTGTGGTGGCTGGCAGGTGGCAGGGGTGGCTGTGCCACGTCAGCCCTGGCCAGCAGCCAAGGGCAGCCCTGCTCTCCTCCTCACCCAGGCTCTTACCTCAGCACCTGCATTTTTACCTGCTGTTTCTGCTCAAACATGCTCAGCCAGGCAGTGAGTGGAGCATTTGTGATGGACACTGAAAACATGAAGTGTTTCCTTGTAGATGAGGGCCTGTGTGTCTACAAGAGCAGCACTTTGAAAAAGCAAAGTAAACTCATACTGATACATCCCTTTACATGTTGAAGTCATGTTAAAAGAAGCTTTTGATGGCCTTAGAAAAGACAGACTAAGAAGGAAGACTAGCAGAGTTATAAACTATCCACAGTTGTAAATCTTGGTTTTGGTTTTGTTTCTTTTTTTCTGATCAGCACTACCCACATACTGTAATGTCTGGCAGACCTAATCTTTTCACGTAGCTGACCAATAAAAATAAGTGTCACTATAAGCCATTTAGATTGAAAGGAGCAAAAAAAAAAAAAATTCCCTTTTGTAAAATCATTCTTCAAAGTACAATCTTAAGAATTATGTATAGCCTCAAGCAAGTCTCATTGCTTGATCAGACTCTGCAAAGAATGGCTGGGGCAGTTTTCCTGGCCCAGAAATGGAAAAATGATGCTGCAAGTGTTCAGAGAGTCTATCTCCCACAAAGGGAGGACATCATTCTCTCCATGCCACGAAGGCATGGCTCTTTCCTACCTCCATAAATACACATGCTTATTCTGAGGGTGCAAATTCCTTAAGTTGGTGTTATCCCTTTCTTGCCTCTGAAGGATGAGGAGGATGTTTGGAGAAGCAAAGACTTCAGGTGTGACAGTACAGTCAGTTTTGCTAGGAATACTGAGGATTGATTTTATGAAAGTTAATTCTTCTTCCTTTCAAGGACTGAAGGTTGTATACAAGGGCATGAGAATATATTGACTGGCTGGGAATGAATGTAGGGTTTAAGGAGTCTGAGCT